TGCACAGTTTAGTCATTTGTGAGGCTGTCATTGGTGAGTGGGACTAATCAAGGCCTTATGAATTTTCTACTAGGATATAAGAATATACCACGTTCATTGTGGTTCTACACTCAAGGATACCAGGTCAATTTGAGTGGTGAAGTCTTGTATGCTGAAGGAGCTGAGAGTTATCTAATTTCTGTTTCTGGTGAAAGATCCAAAGAGTATCTGGATTCTTCAGGTTGTCCCATTGTGATTATTTCTCAAGCAGAGAATCAAGAGAGCAGCAGATGAAGTCAGCTGCTGCATGTGGGAATCCAGCATGATGTATGTTCACATTCACCCCGACGTTGGTCAACAAATTCAGACCCAGTGTGGGAGCTGGTGGGAGAAGCCCAGCCATGATAACTGGGGATGCTCATCAGGGAGTCTGAGTCTGGATGGGAGACATTCCTTGGTCCCACTACTCTGCTCCATGTTCCATGCTCCAGAAAATAGGTACCAGCCTCAAATTTGGCCAAGATGAAAGATGGTGAAGTGCTCTGAAATGCCAAATGCTGTCATCTTGATCTTGAAGTGTGCCCTTTAACTGAGTTGACCTCTCTGGGCTTCTGTTTCCTAATCTCTAAAATTAGAGTTGGACTAGACCAGTGGTTCTTAACTGAGGGTGATTCTCAACCCTGAAGACATTTACCATGTCTGGACCATTTTTAACTGTCACAACTGGGGTGGGGATGTTTAACTGTCACTCATGGTGCCTAGTGGGTGGAGGCAAGGGATGCTGTTCAACATCCTACAGTGCACAGAACAGCCCCCACAGCAAAGACGATCCTGCCCCAAATACCAATAACGCTGAGGTTGAGGAACCCTAAGCTAGACAGTGGCTGCACATTAGAATGATTTGGGAGGTTTAAAAAATACCTGGCCTGACTCTCAGATGGGCTCCTTCCACCTCACCCTACAGCCTCTGTTTTACCTTTCGTGTCTGGTAGGACACATAAATTCCACTCTCCTTGAGGCTGGTGTACAGAATCCTGGAATCCCAGAGCTGGAGGGGTTGGGAAGGCATCAGGCTCAGCTCCCTGTTCTTCAGGACAGATCCTCCTCTTGGAGATTAATAGAGGCGGACAACCCAAAGCCCTTTTCTGTGGTCCATGTCAAGTCAATGTCTTACCAGTTCATAGTCAAATATTCTTCTTTGTGACTAAGGGAAATTTTCCCCATTTCTCTTCAAGCCCGTTTCCTCCTGTCCAAGTCCCTGTAGACACAGACCACAGTAGTGCAGCAACGTCCTCTGTAAGACCTTTACAGACCTGAAGGTGATTGTAAAATGGCCCCTTCCGCACAGGCCTGCTGACTTTCCTTAATTTGGGGGATAGAGAGATTAATAAAAAGGCTCAGTCTCCAAGGAAGAGAGCTCCCCAGGCAGACATGGGGCCCTGGGATGGGCTTTCCAGGCAGAGGGATGGCCCGTGCAAAGCAGGAGGGAGTGAAACGCCCGGATGGGCTGAGGGAACCGTGAGTTTCTCCACGGGAAGGCAGCGTGGGCGCCCTGGGTGGGGTGGCCCGGCCAGAAGGACGGTGCTCACCACTCCAAGGAGCTGGGAACAAGCCCGGGGGCAGTAATGAGCCGCTGAAGCCACACATAGAAAAGAGACAGAGTCAAGTGTTGCTCAAGAAAGACTCCTCTGGTTGCAACACAGAGGATGGCCTGCTGGGGCAGGACGGGGAGGGAGGCCAAATAGGGGGCTTTGGCCCAAGTGAGGCCCCAAAGCTGCAGAATGGGACGAAGAAGAGGGGGCGGCTTGGGGAGGTCGCAGAAGAATGGACAAGACTCCCCTGAGGGGACGCTGCAAGGAAGGAGAGGGTAGAAGCTGGGGGGCACCCAAGGTTCCTGCCCAAGTGGCCGGTAGGTGGATGGTGGCCTCATTCACTGGGTGGGGGAAGCAGAGGAGATGGAGTGGCCGGGAGGATGCTCGCGAAGGTGACTGTGGCCTTATGTGGGGCTGTAGAAGCAGGAGCACGTGAAGGTCACTTTATCCCAGATGGGGAGATCAAGCACACTCTCTGGTCCTGGTGGCCGAGAGTGTGGCTCCGGGACAGGGAGCCCCCGTGGAAACTAGCACACAGGTCGGTCAGCCAGGCGGCCAAGCAGCGAGGCCCAGGGCAGTGGCTCCAGCCCCAGCTGTCCTTTTAATCCCCTGGGAGCTTTTAAAACTGCAGCTGCCCCAGCCCTGCTCCAGGATTTCTGACACATCCTCCGGGGGCTGAGTCGCAGTGACGTTTCTCATGCACACCCAGCTCTGAGGCTCGCCGGCGTGTGGGCTTCGCAGACTTCAGCAGGCACCTGAAGCCCGGGAGTCTTGCCACAATGCATGTTCTGATTCAGCAGGTCTGGGTGGGGCCCGAGAACCTGGATTATAAAAACAGCTCAGGTGACCGTACTTTGAGCAGCAAGAGCGGAGCAAAATGCTTTCCAGCCCTGGCTGAGCATCAGAGTTCCCAGGCCACACCTGAGACCAATGAAACACAGATCTCTGGGGCCAAGACCCAAGCCAAAGATTTTTAAAGACACCCAGGTGATTCCAAGAGCAACCAAGAGTGAGAGCCATTGATGAAGCCTCGAGAAGACTGCAGGTGAACAGCAGGGATCCAGCTGGAGGGAGCCCGAACTCCATCCTAGGAAGGGCGCTGACCTCCATCCTGCTGTGTGTTATCTGGTTAGCAAGAATCCGCCAATGCCCAGGAGTGAGGGTCAGAGTTCACCCAGCAAGTTTATAGAGAGCCTGCCATGTGCTTGGGCTGGCTGCCAGGATGACTAGAACATGGGCACACAGTGTCAGCAGACGGGTTTTAGACAAATGCTTGCAATAAAACATTGCTGAGCTGTGGCAGAGGTCTGTACAGAATCCAGGAAGGGCACGACTGTGAGTGTGGCCTTTTCTACTTTGTGAGGTGGGTGCCCGGGTACAGCAGCCTGGTGGGTGAGGGGGCAGAGAGAGGCAGTTCAGACCCAAGGAGAATCCAAAGCAAGGTACTGACGCATGAAAGAGCCCACAGCAGGCAGTGCTCCAGGCAGGTGGCTGGAGGCAGCAACTACTGGGGGCAGCAGCCTGGTGCTGTGGTTAAAAGTGTGTCATCCAGTCAGACCCTTTGGGCTGAGATCCTGGGCCCCCACTTACTGGCTTTGTGACTTTAGACAAGTGACTTTTCCTTTTCTCAGGGTCATCACCAATAAAAGGAACAAAACAGTAGCCCCTACCTCAGAGGTCTGTTGGAAGAGTAAATGGGTTCACACACTCAAAGCACTTAGAATGGGTTGGGATCTAAGAGGCGCTCAGTAAATGTTGCTGGGCAGTAGTGAAGGTTCCTAGTCAGGAGCTGAGTGCTGGGACCACAGCTGCGCAGTGTGGCTGGGGAGGAAGGGACCGTGGAGAAGTGGTGACAGGGTGGGGTGAGGCAGGCCCATGATGCCCTGGGACGCGTGTGGGCAGACGTCACAGTGAGCGTTTGCTCTCAGCTGTCTGTGGGGTGACTGGGGGGAGGTAACCAGCAGCATGCAGGCCACCGCTCAGGATGGGTGTGACCCAGGCCTCAGAAGCAACTAGATCATCTCCACACTCTTGCTTTTCCCCCCATTTCTATGAACTTCTTTATCCCCTCAGTTATAACCACCATTGGGCAGAAAGTTGCCTCCTATCATTGATAAATATCAACATGCTTCTATAAAAACAAGACTTTTCTTTCCTGAAACCACAAACACCACGTTATTTACATAAAATGGAAAAAAACAGAGTGCCCAGCGACCCCTTGGAGAGGAGACTGAGGAGAATGCGAGGGCAGTGCCTGGCTGGTGGGCACCCGGAGGTGACAGCCCTATGCCTAGGTAGGAAGACTCTCGGCCTCCCTCCAGGATCTTGCGGATCCTTCCAACTGTCTGCACACCTCCTGTCCTTTGCCCAGGCTTCTTGGGCAGATTTCATTCTCACATACTATCATCTGAAAAAGCTTTAGGACTCTGGGTCAAGCATTCCTTCCCCAGCCCCAAAATTCTGGGCCACGTGGAATAAGGTCTCTTCCTGCTCAGGGTCTCAGAGCAGCAGCATCTCCTGACTCTAACTCCCATCACATGTTGATTGCATGTTTCCCCCTCTAAAAGGAGCTTCCTGGGCCTCCCCTCCCTCCTACTAATGGTGTTAAAACCCAATAGCTTTGCTATCCCTGGGTTGGCCCGTGGCTGAAGACGCCTGTATCCCCAACACAACCTTTCAATACGCAGTCACCGAGCATGTGTCTATACATAGTTTGAAGACCCAAAGAGGAGGCTTGTAGCATGACCCTGACTTTAGGTCCTGAGCCAGAACAAGGAGAAGTCTCTAGCTTGTTCCCTTCCCTGCAGCAGATCCTACTCACAGCTCAGCGTCTCCTTCTCAAGGGGTCTGGCCCGGGCTCATTCTGAGCCAGAGAATTTGGTGGTGAGGGAGGGGGCAGAGTCCTCCACAGCTGCTGAGCTCAGAGGGG